CCGTTTTTCTCTTTTACAGACTTTCTCCACTTCTAAAACCTTGGGGGCCCCCCCCCCCCCTTCTGCCCCCTGTCTTTTTTCCCTTTCCTCTTTTCCCTTTTCTCTTTTCCTTTTTCTCTTTCCCTTTTTTAACCATTTGCTCAGTGGTTAAACTGAGTGGGATGGAGGGAAACCAAGAGGAGATCAGCAAAGCTTGATTTTCACTTTTTACCCCCCAGTTGGTGCAGTCACCATGGGATTCCTACATCCCGGATGGGAGAAGCTTTCACAGCTGTGCTTCACTGTGCAGAAGCATCATCCCCAATCTTCCCAGAGCCAAAGGACAGTTCAAATTAGGAAAAAATTCTTCTCAGAAGGGTTAGTGATACATTGGAGGTGTTTGGGAAATATGGAGATGTGGCACTGAGGGACGTGGTTCAGTGGGCATGGTGGGGTGGGGTTGGTTTGGTGATCTTAGATCTCATTCCTGAATGATTCTGTGATTCTAATGCCAAATCTGCCTGTGTTTGGGATGTAAATGTGGAAATCCCTCCTCTTTCACACACAGTGTGGAAGGTTTCATTTCTTATTCTCTATGGAGTGGTCTGTGCTTTTTATGGATACTCACAGGACTTTTTTTTTTCTTGTTTGATATGGAAAACCCTAGTCCTATAGTTTGTAGGTTTGATACTACCTTATGATTACCAGTGTAAAAAGAGGGATGGGATGCTAATTGCATCAATTAGTTGTACGATGACTTGAACACACAACAGAGCTATTTAAAAGTTCGTTTGGATCGTAAAGTGGCAGAGGAACGGCTGATTAGCTGGTCACTGCCTCTCACAGCTAATAATAGCTTTATTATGACAGCATTTCATGCGTGCTTCCTTCAGTTATTCACGTGGCCTGAATGCGTCCAAGGAGCCCATTGGATTCAGGTTTCTTTGTGGGAAGACTTTTGAAATTGTTCATTTCCAGCTTCTTTTCAGACAGAGAGAATCCCAACATTCTGTGTCTTGTGACAGTGAATGTACAGGCAAAGTCTTGACTAATTTTGAGCATCCCATTTGAACAACACCCGGAGAAGTGGGGGAGTCACTGTCCCTGGAGGTAAACCATGGAGATGTGGCACTAAGGGCATGGTGGGGATGGGTTGAGGCTGGATGTGATGATCTTGGAGGTCTTTTCCAGCCTTAATGATTCTATGAAACCTTGGCTTTGCAGCTTTGGCACACCTCCTCTTTGGCCTCTTCTGTAGCCATTCTTATCACCACATACAGAATTTGGGATGTGAAGGGGAGCCAGGATAAAACTGTAAGTTTTATGCATGGTCACAGGGATGGTCAAGGTTTAAACCTTTATCTTTTCTCCTGAGTGGGCACAGGAGCATTTCTAAGTGTTAAAATGATGTTTTTATCAACAACACCGAGCTGTATTCCCCCACAAGATCATTTTGTTCTGAGCTCATTTCTGTGAAAACTGGAGTAGATATAGTGTGGGAGATTTTGCCCATTTACTTCACTTTCCATTAAACTATGCTGATGTCCAGCTCCCATTTTGCTGCAGCTGGTGGGAGGTTGGTACTTGCTTCCCGTGTTTCTTTTTGACATATTTCTGAAGGAAAAAAAACCATAAAATAAAAAACAAGGCTTCAGGGATGTGGTGTGAGTGAGGGTAGGAAGGCTGGAGCTGCTTGGTGTTGAATGGGGCTTTGCAAAAAGTTTGGTTGCTCAGGGAAGCTCTGGCTGCCTCATCTCTGGAGGTGTTGAAGGCTGGGTTAGATGGGGCTCTGGGCAGCCTGAGCTGGTGCCTGGTTTAGTGCTTAGCAACCCTTCCAACCAAGGGGATTGGAACTAAGTGATCTTAGAGTTCCCTTCCAACCCGCACTGTTCTATGATTATGTGATTGTCTATCATTTTGTGTGCAGCCTAGAAAGCATTTTTCTCATTTCAGTTATGAACAACTTAGGAAAGTTTTGATTCTTCCTCACACCAGTAGTAACACAGTGATTCAGTGGTCACTAGCTAGTGGAGCTTATCTCTGTTATTTAGCTCTCCTCCTGACATGAAATTAACATCCGAGCTGAACATCTCTCATAAAGTGCCCTATTTTTCTGTATCTTTGGGAAAATGTCATACAAATGTACCATGGACTAGTTGATCTTGGAGGTCTTATCCAGCCTTGGTGATTCTATGATACAAGGTGTTGTTGGAGGCCATAATAGAGAGAAATAAACGCACCTGGGGATTTCCTGTCTGTGCTTTTTCTCTTTGCCCCGGGCAATCAGCAATACAAAGACTGTTAATAAAATGTCTGAAAGAACATTATTTGAGAGCTGATTCATGTAGCAGTTTGCTGAAGGCTGGATTTGCTGCTCTGTGCCCTTGGGGTTATGTTCCCTATTTAGCTTTCTTTTCAAACCCAGTGCAGTGCATCTGTTCTGCCTTCCACTTCGTGAGTTTTGTTTAAATAAAGTAATGGCATCAGATTCCATAAACTAACTGTGAAGTCTATTCCTATGTATTATTTGCATTGGGATTAGAAACAGGAAAACAATCACTGTGTTGTTATTCAAACACAACGATATCCACCTCCAGGATGTCAGTATTTGCAAAATGAACCATTAATTACTGGTGGCTTCCTGTGTTTTGAGTCTCCTCATTTGTCAATCAATAGCAGAAAGTTTGGTGGATCTGAAGTGGTATTTTTAATCGGGTTTGTTGTTGCTGTTTCCATTTGTAGGTCTTCCCTGATTTGTTATCAATGCATCAGACCAGGCCTTTAGCTGGTGTAACCAGCACCACTCTATTGCTATGCAGAGAGAAAGGGTTGACCGAATCAATAAAAGTTTGTTGAAAGCAACAGAACTGGAAAGAGGAATGAGACCTACCAGCTGTACCCCAAAGCAACAGAAGTGATTAATGACTGCAGCAAACTCTGCTCTCGGTCTCCGTTTCTGCGTGATGACTGGATGCCTTTGGGGAAGATGACCTTGAAACAGGGCAGCTGAAGGAAGTGTGATGACCTGAGGATGACAGGAAGATGGGTGTTATCAGTTCCTTCTAAGCAAAGCTGAGGGATTCAGTTCACATAACTGTGGACTTTTAGAATTGAAATATTGCCACCTGAGCACATTTTAGCTGATCTATTCTGTACGGGTTGGGACGATAAGTCTTGAGCTCTGGGCTCTGTGGACTACATTGACTAGACCTTCACCAACTCTAAAGGGATTTCATGTGACAAGTAGGAAGTGAAAGTGTTTGTGAATACACATCTACTCACTGTCTGAAGCCACCTTGTATCCCTAAAACCTCTTTGTTGAATGTTTTGGAAGATGTTAATAGGTGTTGAGATATACATCAGTGTGGTTGGGACTTCCAACATCTACTCTAACTGGAATTCTTCTTGTCAACCCCATTCACAAGCCAGACTTCTCTGTACCAAAACCAGCGAGAAAGATTTGGAATCAAGGTCATAGCACTTCAGTAGAAAATATTTCATGTGTGTATGGGGAGTTACTACATTATGGTGAAAGAGTTTTCAAAAGTGAAGAAAGATAAACAGGGTGCTAAAATGAACTGAGTCTAATGTTTTTTTTATACAGCTGTCAGCTTTATGAACAATCCATAAACATATTGTGAGCCCCTTTTATGGCTTACATGGGGCTATCAAACCAACAACTGGAACACGAATCCACTGTTTATGTGAACGAGCGACGCAACTGAATACAGGAAACCACAAGTGGTTGGATGGTCTCCAAGTGCAATTGCACAAACCAAAAATGAAGAGAAGTGGCAGATTTTCTGTTAGTGTAGATCAGTCATATCATCATCTCATATCATATCCATTGAATTTTAATCTCTTTTCCCTTTATTTTATTTTATTTTATTTTATTTTACTATTTTACACTAGGAGGTCTAGTCCTCAGAATAAAGATCATTCTTACCTTTTACTCAAGCAACATTTTCTTATTAGATTGTTAATAATTAATATTATTCCCTATATCTGTTTTGGTTTGCTTGTTTGTTTTCAGTGCCTGCAGCCTGCAGCTGTGCGTCAGGATCACATGGTGCTGTACTAGCACCAAAGAAAATCAAGATCATGGCATTAGTAAAAGACAAGGTACAGTAGGTGGGATGCTTGCTGAAATCTTCAATATGTCACTGCAGTATGTCAGCAAATAAGATCATTAAATAAAGGTACAAGAGGAAAATTGCAAGCTTTGATTAGCAGAGAGGAACCCAATCACACATTGCATTAATTTTATTTATTTAGTTTATGCATAAATTTAGCAAAGGGTTGTTTTTTTTTTTTTTTTTGCCATACCAGTGTCCAACCATCAGGAAAAGCTTATTA